TAGTTAACATATTAAATATATATAAATATATAGGTATGTTATGTATAATCTTTGCTATGGGTACAAGAAGCCATGCTAGGTGATCAAAGTTAGACCAGTCTCAGCCCTGGAATGCCTGCATAAGAGATAAAATGAAGATATAAATAATTGTAAGAACAGTACATTGGCAACATCGTGACCTTTGGAGCCAGACAAACATATGTCATGTCTGTGTGCTTTGCCACTGAGTATCTGGTCAACTGGGACAACATTCTGACTCTTTTTATATTTGGTATTTGTATTAGTCAGTGTGGGCTAAGTTATGTTGCAGTAAAAAACAATTCCCAAATTACAGCAAACATTTATTTCTGTGAGGGTTGGTGGAGCAGTCTTCATTCTAAGACCCAGGCTGATGGAGCAGCCCCCATCAGAAATGTCGATAGTCACCACAGCAGAGGGAAAGTAAAAACAGCATCTCACGACCGGCTCGTCTCGAAAATTCCACCTGGAAGTGACACAGGAGTTGCTCACATTCCATTAGCCACAGAAATTCACATGAACATCTCTCATTTCCAAGTGACTGAGAAATTGCAGGAAAACTTTTGTAAGAAAAGAAACGGCTTGTCATATAGTTGACACATACTCATTCTAAAGTCCTAAAATGCATCAGTATCTAATCAAGCTAACAGCTATGCCAATGAAACAGTTTGGCTTTATCAAGACAGCTGCAAAACGAACCATCTCCTCCCTTGTCTTGTGAAAGTCATTTTGGTTATTTGAACTTTAGTTTGTCCTGTGTACACAGAACATCTGAAAAAGAGAAGATTTTGGCAATGGAGTGGGAAAAGAGTATATGGAACTTCATATCTTAATGACTTACCCCAACCCCACTTCTCCTTTAAAAGGAAAAACACTTTGTTCACAATTGAGGAGTAGAAAGTTGTCTCAAAACATAACATTTCTTAATTTTGCTTTTTTCTCCCTCAGACATCAGGATTTGGTGGCAGTTGGAGGGTTCTGACTCTAGAATTGCGCTGAAAACACTTGGCGCACACTACAGAGAAAGGCCCTCTTTCTGCTTCAATCTCGTGTCCTTGCGGAGACCCTGGAGAAAATGCTGAGTGTCCAGGGTGGCCCCGGCGGGGGACAGGCCACTGAGAACTAGGTGGTCCTCAGCCGCCGTCTCCCTCCCCACCTTTCCCGCCCCCTCTGCCCCTGCGTAATGACAGGAGCAGCAACTCCAGAACTAGTGAGGGAATCAGATGTGGAATGACACAGACATTGTTTCACATTAGGGGGGCATTTGCCAACGTAAAAATTACTACAGCTTTTGCTATAAATTGTTCCGTAAATTTTACAAAATATGCAAAAACTGACATTTCAAGAGCTGAGATAATTTCGATTTATTAAAAAGTTGAGGGCCTTGACATTCAGCAAAAGAGAGCATATTTCTTTATCTAGCTTTGAGTTGCATGGGTCTTGTTTTTGTTTTTCAGCTCCTTGTTTATAATTCATGGGTCAAAATGGGCTACATCTGAGGTTTGACCACTTAATCCAGGTTTAACCAAAAATTTCTCCTGCGTCTCAGGCAGCAGATATAACTTCTCTGAATCCCAAATTTCTTATCAGAGCATGCAGCGATCCTGGTCTGCCTCAGAAAGTTGACAGACAGGCCTTTGATGTCTGGACAGCACTCTAAAATGCTTCCGTGACATAGACGGGTTCCCACTGTCTTTATATAGCACAGTCCTGAGGATACTTTTCTCATTACTCCATCCTTTCTTCACACTCCCCCAACACACACACACATCTGTGCACACGCAGACACACACGCACACACCTTCTCTATGCAGTGCCGCAGTCCCTCCACACATCATGAAGGCCTTGGCTCTCTCCCAGTGGAACTTCCATGAAAACCCTGCTTCTCTTCTAACACTGCTGCTCTCCTGTCACGTGCAGATAATACTTCTTTGTAATGACAGACCCACCGTCAGAGCCGGGATAACTGAGTGTACTGGCCGGCCCTTGAGGAACCATGGCCCCGGGGTGTGTGCCTGAAAGAGTTTGTCGCACATGGGACAGTGTGGCCCATGACTTCTGCCCCTTCCATGGAACCAGAAAGTCATATGGAATTAAAAGAGAAATCTTCATCGGAAATCAAACTTTTTTCTAAGTTGGCCCCCCTCTCCTTCTCCTCAACCCCCAAGCCTGCACCCCACTTTTTGAAATAAAGCTTGAGGACCAGTTTAGATTTTAAATCTCAGCTTCAATGGGGCAAAACCTGACCTTAGTGTTGGCCTCTCGCCAGTTGTCCTGGGTGGAATGAACGCTGCCCTGTGTGTTTAGACAGTTAGTGCTGTAACCATTAGTGCTGTAGCACCTGGGGTGCGGTAGGCACCGCCTCGGAGGGCCGGCGCGATCGGCCTCCTCAGCTCACGCAAAGCTTGTGCCTCGCGTTCCCTCGTTCTGTGGGAGCACCGCGCTGTGGTCCCCAGAGGCCCAGAGCGCTTTCCTGCACAGCCCGCACCCTGAGCGCAGGAAGAATTTCTCCTGGTGCCCAGACCACGGGCTCTCCTACAGGCAGGCACTTCCTTCCTGCCTGGGGCGGGGTGCCCAGGCCCCTCGCCGGAGCTCAGTGCACTTCTCGGGGAAGTTTCACTTGCCCTCAGCTATTGCAAACATGATCTTGCTGAACGGAGCTGAATTTTTAAGGCTGCGTTTGCGGTGTGGATTCTGATGGCGGCACGTTAGTTCAAGCCTCTGAGGACCAGGGCCAATAAATGTGAAAGGGACAGCAGTAGATTGGCATACTTTCCCATTTCCACCAGGATGAAAAACTGCTATAAATTACGTCTAACCTTAAATGTATAATCTGTCCTTGGCAGGGAGAAAAAAAAAAAGGACAGCATCTTCAAGCTCTCGGCATCCCTTACGAGAAAAAATTGGTTCTAAGGGTCTCTGATCTTGTGTTTTAGTAAAATAGAACTGCACGGCTGACTGACAGTTCTGATCTAAAGCATTTACGTTTAAGTTTTGATCTCTCTGCTTTTGATTAAAACTAATGAGCTCATTTAATTCAAAATGGGAATCTCTGATAAGAGAAATAAGGTTGATGTGATTGGATTAGAGGGGCAAATTAAACTCTTAGAGCAGAAGTTTGTGCTTATATAGTGTATTAAAAAGCTGTTGGCGTATTATGGCGTGTTAGATGATGAGAAGAATTTCATAGTAATTCATATTTAATCAGAAGAAATGAAAGCACTAAATATAACATGGCTCTGCTTTTCCCTCGAGTGATAAAAAGCTGTACATTTAAAATGACATCAGGTCCATTCTCTCTAAAACAAAAAAAAAAGAAAACCTTAAGAGAGGCACATAAGAAAAGGATACTTGTCAGTGGTCCCATCACCCCAGAATAGAAATGACATGAATATAGGAAAATGGAGTCACATTAAGACAGGAATGACACAGGAAGGGGCCCAGACCACAAATAGCAAGGTTCCTCTTATTATAGTAATTTCCATTCTCTTTCATCTGAGCATCACGTTTAATATAAAAAATAGACTTTTCCTTAGAAATATATGTAATACATTCCATAATTTAATTTTTTTAAGTTTTTTTGCCAGTTTTTTCATAACAGTTTTCGCATGCTGTATATTTAATTCTTAAACCTTTACCCCAACCCCAGAGGATATCAGTGTTATTCTGATATTCTCAAAATAGAGTATCAGATACTCTAAAATAGAATATCAGAATAAAGGCTGCTCGAAAGAAATCCTATAGGTTGTCAAAACTATTTTTTGTTTTACAATAAGAAAAACTTTAAAAATATTCTTTTAGAAGAATAAAATTAGAGTATTTATTAGGCTTTAGCAGCCTAAAATTTATATAATACCTTAGATTTTAAAGAAGCTAGATTTATGTTGCCTTCTAACTTTTTGAATAAAGGTGTTTTTAGATCAGCAAGATAGCAAACTACCATTTTAAGTCTCATGAGTCAAAATGTATTCTACTTAGCCTAAAAATATGTAAAGGGAAAGAGTATCTTGCCTAAGAGATTGCCCTGGTCGCTCTGGCTCAGTGGTTAGAGCGCTGGCCTGTGAACTGAAGGGTCTCGGGGTTTGCTCCCAGCCAAGGGTACCCTCGGTCGGGTTGCAGGCTCGATCCCTGGCCAGGCCGGGGCACGTGTGGGAGGCAACCAACCGATCTGTCTCTCTCACATGGATGTTTCTCTCTCTCTGTCTCTCCCCTCCCTCTAAAAAAAATCAATGGGAAAAATAGCCTCAGGTGGGGATTAACAAAATAAAGAGAGGAGACTATTATTTTCTCATATCAGAAGCAGAGAAGTGGAAGCAGTTTCCCATTCGGATGAGGGCAGGGGACAGGAATGGAAAGTTGAAACTGTGAGGAGCTTCTGTTTGTTCCTGTCTGTACATCCCACCCTCAGCCCTCTGTCTTGAGTCAGTTGAGAAGACTTCATGCTTCTTGTTTCCCACAATGAAGAAAAACAACTTAAGAGGGCAAGGGCACTGACCATGACGGTTTTGCGTTCTCGGGACCCCCAGTAGGTAAACGACGCAGGACAGGATTCCTGGGGAGTACAAAGAGCAAACCATCCTTACCCTTCCTCAGAAGCATCTCTGCCTGAGTCTTAGTTGATCTCATAAATCTGGGGGGGGGGTCTTTCTTTTTCATGATGGTTCCCTCCATGTGTACTGGCCAACCCCCAAATGCGCTATCACCACTTGCTTACTGTCAGACCCCATTTAGGGAGCTGCTGGAACTTAAAGGGCCTGAGAAGCTCTTGCTAGAAACTGGAATGGAGCTACTTTAGATACATTAAGTTTTCTTTTTTCTTTTCTGCAAAGTAAACATTTTCTAAATGAGGTAATATGATTGCTTAGCTCTTAGCACCCATCAGTCAATTATTTGTAGTGAGCTCGAGGATTGCGCCTGAGCAGGAGCTGTGAGGGGCTGGCAGAGGTCTCAGTCATGTGTGTATGTGTGCTTGTGTCCTTCAGTGGAGTCCACCAGCCCCAGCCTGCTAGCCACTGACAACACCCTTGAGCGTTCCTTTTTCATCCGAATGAAATCTACTCTGACCAAACGCGGCGTGCACATCAAATCATCAGGATACAAGGTAAGCTGGGCTCTGGGCGGGGACGTAGTTCTGTCTCGCGTCAATCCTGCATCATTTGCATTGAGTTTCCCAGCTGCTTTGGGTCCATGTAATTAACACATGTGATCTGGAGCAGCCCATAGGGTTCTCAGCTATCTTCCTGTCGCAGTGTCTCAAGGTAGGGGCTCCATTACACCCTGGTCTTACTTCAGACATTGCTGGTACACCAAATGCCTCTATACAGGGTCTTTTCTTAAAACACTTGTTAATAATGCACCAAGGCTTCAGCACATGCTAGAAATTCACTTTGTGGGAGAAGGTGAGCCAGATTTATATCAGTCCTTAAAATAACTTGTTCTAGAATTGCTACTTATAAGAATTCTACTTCTCCCACTTAACCCTTCAAAGCCTCCCTTTCTCTTTAGAGAAAGACTATTTTAGTAGCATGTTGGCCACTGAAATTCATACATATAAATAAGAAAATCCGGTTGGACATCAGTAATCTTATACATTAGCACACATAGAATACTCAATATATAGAGTATATGTTCCCCACAACAGCAAAGACCTAGTCTGGGGTCATAATCTACATTATTATACCATTTTTAGTTACTATATTAACATAAATTAAGACCTATGAAATGCCTTTAGCAATGTGAATCATGTCAACTGTACAGCACACTAACCAACCTCTCAAACAATATTTATTACGTGGGAGGGCGAACGGAGAGAGAGTGTACTGTAGATGGGGCCAGCACCGCTTTTCCTCATTTCAGAGTCTAAGGCCTGATCGCTAAGCTCTTTAGGGTGGCCTTTGTCAGAGAGGGTAGCAGACATCATCATCAGGCCTTAAAAAGCTTCTATAAGTCATCAAGAGACTCACAGTTGCATAAAAGCCAGAGTCAGGCACTGTATTTGACATGAATGCTTTAGAGAGAAAAGACAGGAGGTGGGGAATTGGCCCTTCCAGGCGCCACCTGGAGCTGCACTGTCCGAGTCTGAAAGGCTCGCGTGTGTGGAGCAGCCGTGACCTTTAACAGGGTTAGAAGCAAAGGAGAGGGCCTGGGGGGCGCCACCCGCAGCAGCTTTACCCCACAGAGGCCTGATACAAAGGGATATGTTGGAGGAAAAGATACCAGACTCTGTCCTTAGGACCATTTTGTATTTTCCTACCTTGCTGAACACAACATATTTATTAGCTGTTACCGTGTGGCATTAGCAAATTTGGATTTCTCTAGGTAAACTATGGGTTTAACAGTTACTCATTTGAGTGCAAGAAAGATGCATTCTTTGCATCCCAGCTTTCAGGAGCTGTCGGGCTTCCTTTCAAGAATCACTTCTGTGTCAGCATTTGTTGTTCACCTTTAGTGGTTTTTACTGGTTTGTAGGGAACATATTCCAGGAGGAAGAAAGTGGCACAGGTGAGGTATAGTTTGAAAAAGCAGTATTTTGTATAATCCAATGTCATTAGATAATATTCTGAAAAAAATAAATGCAAAACTTCCACATGACAAACTAGAGATGTAAAAGCTCTGTAAAATTTTGGATCTTCAAAAAAGTGGGATATCTGGGTAAAAAAAATAATATGGGGAAGTAGTTTGAGTTTCAGTCTAGGCAAAGAACCAAGTAGCTTGGGTTCTGTTCATTTGTTTTGCCATAGGGGCACCTCAGTAAGGCAACATGACCTGGAATTGAGCAAGCTAATTTTTTAAATATTAATAAACCATTCATTCATTCATTCATTCATTCATTCAACAAATATTTATTGAGCTCCAACTATGGAGCCTGTTCTTGATCCTGGAAACCCAGCACTAAACAATAAAAAGTCCCTGTTTCCATGACGTTGCATTCTAACGGGGAGACAGACAATAACAAGCAATAAATAAAGAAGGTGGTTTGAGAGAGTGATGAAGCTAGAATCACAGCAGCTAACATCCATGCCCACTACAGTGTGGTAGGCATGGTACTGTGTGCATGTATTAGCCTCACCACAATCCTAGAAGAAAGTATTTCATTGTTTTCATTTGACAGATGAAGAAACTAAAGCTACAGAGGTTAATTGCATATCCGATGTCACAGGTTGAAGAGACAGCTAGGTTTTGAACTCTGGGATTCTGGCTCAAAACCCCATGTGCTTAACCACAAGGCTACACTATTACACAGACAGTGATGCAAGGTAACGTGAGCAGGAGGCTGCTGGGGACCACTTTAGGCAGGAGGGTCACAGAAGGTGTCCCTGAGCAGGTGACATGTCTGTGAGTGGTGAATGAGAAGGGACCACGATGAAAACATAAGGAAGAAAAGAAGAGTGATTCTGTTAGGATTAGAGACACCTTGCTATAGGAAGGGGCCTTTGAGAAACAAAATGTTAAAAAGTACAACCTTGACTGCCCAGGACTGGAAAAGATTTAGGAGCTGTTCCTATTTCCATACATGTTAAATGATCACACTCCTCTGACATAACCCTGTCAGTACATCTTTCTCAAGGTTTCGTAAAAGTCTCCCTCCAATGCCTGTCCCCTCCCCAGAACTGCTAACACGAGAGGCGATTCATCGCCTGCTCCCCAGTAAGAATCATCATCCAGCAGAGCCAGCTCCCCGCTCCTCCCCGCACGGTGAACTTCCCTCGTTAATTAACCTTGTCTGAAAGTTAGTGGAAGAGCTGTGCGAGCCCGTGATGTGACACAGCTGAGTAACATCCCTATTTATCTGTTCATTCTCAGTAAATAAATCTAACAGCTTATAAAACATTCAAATAAAACTGGTAATCACCCCACCACCACACAATAAACACAAATAAAAAGAAACAACGATGACAATTTCTCCATACTCCCAATATCCCCTTAATTTACTACCATTGTGTGCAGCTTTCTTTTCCCTTGGTTAAATATCCAAGATGTTAAGCCTTGCTCACTATAGGTCATTATATTTCTCTCTATTTTTTCCTGTAACCTTGGCACGTGAACCTTTCTGACTTTCTCCATCATTTTATCTGCCACTCTTTCTTTAGTGTCATTGTCACTGACAGTAGTAATTGTAACAGAAGTACTACTTATTGACTCTGTGGCGGACACTATGCCAAACACTTCACGCTTATTTGAACTAATCCATACATTATTTAAAGGCTTTCTCTGTGCCAGGCGTTATTATACCCATTTTGCAGGTAGTGAAACTGAGGCTTCAATAGGTTCATTAGCTACTGAGGAGTCAGGGTTGATCCAGGCAGTTAGGCTCCAGAGTTTGCCCTCTTCACCCCTCTGCCTCACTACTTAACCGATCAAGTCCAAAGAAGGGTGCTCAGGATGAGCTGGATCTCAACATATGAAAAATTAAAGTTTTTAAAAGAAAAATCTGTTGCTTGATTAAGACCTGCTCTTTGGGGCTCAGCATCTCCATGGCACTAGTTTACACAGTTTCGCAGAGATCTGCCTTCCTTTCCAGTTGGGTTTTTATAAAACCTAACTCATGACCGAGAATCCTCGCCAAAGAAGTGCCATCTGGACCTGCTCTTGCTTCCACGCCCCAGTCCTCAGGAACATTGCCCTCTCTCCAATGAAGTTCCCCAACTGCAAGCTGACATTAGGTGTCTCCGTCTTCATTTGCTTTGAAATTCACAGCAGCACTGTTATCTGGACCAGCCACTTTTTATGCCTCAGGGGCTTCCTAATGTTGTTTAGGTCTCATTGTTGGCCACATATCTGAGCATAACACAGCTCTCCTTTAAATTGCACTGCATCAATATTCTGCCTTCTTGATGAGGTCTATGTCTGGGGGAACTTACCCAGGTATCGCACAGAGGGTGAAAGGAGATATGTAATCAGGGAAATTAGAGAAGTGAAGACTAATTGGGTCGCATCCTTAGCTTCTGTCTTTGGAGGATAGTTTCCTTCGGCACAGGACTGTCGGTTTTCTAATCTGCTCTTAAATGCCCCCCAGCACCACTGTCATTTCTGGAGTACTTATCCAACCACAGTGATATTCTAACTCTAATGGCCTGGGAGAGCATCCTGGACTGGGAAACACAGACAAAGAGAGAAAAGCTCTGTCATGTTGATATAATGCTGAGAATGTCTCTGGACTCTGCAGAGACAAAAATCTTCAAATGTCGAGGGTTCGCCTATGACACATATGAACAGATTCCTAGGAAGCACAGGGGAACTCCAGATTCTAAAAAATAAACAGCCCCCACCTGGGATTATTTGGTTATGGATTTGCCTATAGCCAAGAGTTTAAATGATTTCTGAAGTCTATCCAGCCTCCTTATAATATAAAGAGTCATAAAGTATAAGTCATGGTTTATTAAGATTGCTGATATGCCTCAGCTTTAAGACTATATCTAAGCATGAAGTAACAAAGGCCAAAAATTAGAGGGTGCTAATTATCTAAAGAAAAAATTTGCCTTCTCTAAGCACAAATGTAAGTGTCTTTTAAATTAGAAAATCCTCTCGTTCATTTTTTAAAATTCATGGTTGCTTCTGTTCTGTGGAGTGAGGCACTTTCATAATTTTAACAGTGATTTGTTTTATTTTGGGTGTCACAGATGCCTTTAAGGATTTGATGAAATTTGTTGAGCCTCTATCAAGGTAAATTCATTTTGCATCAGGAGGTTCCTGAATCCCTGAAATGTTTCCAGTGGTAGCAGGAAACCCTACTTAATACGAGATCTTTGATACTTATTAAAAAGGAACAAAGTGCATCTTCCAGAACATATTTCAGATATCACAGTAGCCCTTTCCTTTCTCGCTCCTCCCTCCCATTTATGCATTTAGTGTTAATAAACAGTGAGGTCCTGTTGCAAAAGACATCAACTACTAGGCTGCAAAAGCACAAAACTAAGATTTACATTTTGACCCCTTCATGCAGATAGAGATAATCTGAAAAAGTATTTTTTCAGGAAATATTTTATAAAAATTATACCTAATAATGAAAATTACAGTAAAACCTCAATATAACAGACAAATTCAGGCAAGGGGTGTCTGTTAAAGCTGAAAGTCCGTTATATAATAATGAAGTTTTTCTGA